AGCTCCCAACGGCCCTGGTCAACCCAGCCAGCGATGCTGGGAGCTGTAGTTCAGCCATCCTTGGAGAGACAAAGGTTCCCTACCCCAGCTGAAAACAAGATGCCACACAGATGTCAGGCCAATGATCCTGACAACAACCTGCAAGGAGGTTAGGCTGATGCTCATGTTACAGATAGGGAAGAACAGGGCCAAACAGTGGAAAGGATTAGTAGCTGTGCCTTGCCTCATCAAACCCCTTTCTTCCAAATGCTATTCTGTCCCCTTATATGGTCAAGTGTCCATTTTAAACATGAGTGCAAGTGGTGGGCCGATCCCACACTTCTGGTTTGTATGGCTATGTGATTCCCTGTCCTAGAAAGCTGACACATAAGTAACATCTTCTTCGATACGTTGTTCTGTTCATGAGATATTTCATGCCCTTTCTAGAGCTGTTGCAACTCTGGATGATAACCGGTTCTCGAACAGCTTTTCCCATCCTGCTGCTTGCAGATATATTGGACCACAGCTCCCCAAATAACCTTTGGATTTGAATCTCAGCCCATCTACAGAGCTGCGGTACATTTACTTCCAAAGATCTACCAAGATTTTTTTCATGGTCCCAAGAGTTCACCCAGGTCCACATGAATCACTACCCCAAGTACTCAGTTGCCAGAGGGCTGGTGGGTGGAAGATGCTTTGATTCCGAGTACATGAAGCACCGCTTGTGCTGGGGCTGGCTTCTGCCACACTTGTCCTCCTCGCTGTATTTGTCTACCCCATTCCACAGAGGGTCAGGAAGAGGCCTCAATCTGGAGGGGACTTCCATAGAACATGAGAGTCTATTTTCAAAATTTCATGAATTCTGTGTTTGGCTTTGAAAGGCAGCACAAGGAAGCTTGTTCTGGGAGAGGAACAAATCTCTTGTGCTCAGGAAGGTCACCTCGCAAGCCCTCATGCTGAGTTGGAGGAGTCATGTTTCCCTTATCTAAACTCAGAAGAACAAGGTTGAATTCCTTCTCTCCCCAAAGGAAGAAAAAGTCTCTGCTCAGCCATCCAACAAGTGGGGCAGAGTATCTACCACCTGCCCTGCAGAAAATTTCAGTACCAAGACAGGTGAGAAGACTGGAGAAGCAGTTTAAATTTGTCAGCTGCTTATGCCCCATATTCCACACTTGCAGGCACATATGGGGTGCCTTTCTCCGGTTGGAACAAGCCCTCCTACCAAAAGATGCCTCCTATCAAAGGACCAAAGCATGTTGTTTTCAGAGTGTACACGGGGCATCTTTCCTCTCAGAAGAACAAAGGCAGTCCAGCCTTTCCTCTGACCCAACTAGACATGCAGCCTTCTCCAAAAGAGTAAAAATGCTCAACATGTCCAAAGGCCATTTCCTTGGGATGTGGGGGATGCTTCCCCCACCCCCCCCGATGGTGCAGCCTCTGCTCCTCAACAGGGCCAAAGTACATGGTGCCACTGAGCATACTGAAAGGACCTATCATCCCATGACTTTGAACTGGCTCAGGGGACCTTTCTCTTGTGAAACATGGTTTCCTCTGGACCAACCTGAACTGCTCTCCGGGGCACATGCCTGGCTGTTAAAAACCAACACCAGAGATGTATCCATCATCTTTCTCTTCCCTCCTTCCTGCTTCCTAGCCTTCTGTTCTGGCAACTGGCTGGGATGAAATCTTGGCCCAAGCCAGGCCATTGGCAGCCCCAGCATGCTTCAGACATTCCTGGGCAAAGGCAAATGGGGGCAAATGAGGCGGCTCGACTCTTGGAAGGCTTCTACCTTGAAGATGGCGCTCCCGTGCTTTTGGCTGGCTCCGGACGGCGCTCTTCCCCAGAAAGGAGGCGAGCAAGGAACACTCACAGATCGAACCTTATAAGGAGAAGGAGGAGGAGAGGGCGTCTGTGGGGTCTGGGGCAGGAGAAAGGACTCCTCGCCAGCCGCCCACATTCCTCGCGTCATACCTCATTACCCAGAGAAAAGCCATCTTAGATCGGCGGGGGGGGGGGGGGGGCAGGGGGAGCGGGGAGCCCGCAAGAGAAGCTCCTTACCGAAAACAAGCAGCAGCAGGAACAGGACCGATACTAGACAGCTTTTCTTGGAGAGACTTAATTTGAAGCATGGCTGGGTGGACCTGCTATGGGCTGCCCGGCGCCTGAAGAGGCAGGAGGAGCTATCCAGGTTCCCATAAAGGGGGGGGGGGGGAGGAAGAAAATAATGGCTCAAAGATCCAAAGAGAAGACTAGCATATTTGACCAGACTGGTTTCAAAATAAGATACTAAGAAGATCCACCCTTTGCCTGACTGAAGATATTCTGTTAATATGAGAGCAGCTGCAGTCTTAACCAGTCCGGTTCTCTCCCCTCTTCCATGGTGACTGCAACTCCCAGAATCCCTCTGCTGCCACTCTGGCAAGGAATTCTGGGATGAGAGTTCTAAGACATGGGGAAAGTCTCAGGTTATGGCAGGCTGGTGGGTCTGATGCTTCCGGGAAGCAACCTAGTGGGGAACTAAAAGCAGCGGCACTCAGACAATTCCTTTTCAAAGATAGGTTGCTTCTGACCACGGAAGTCTCATTTCATGCATCAAACCATAAGAATCATGGTAAGGTGAGATCGGGAGACTGTCCTGTTTGGAATTTTGTTCTCCCAGCAGTCAGTGAGATGCCACTGGGAAGCCACGTACTACAGGAAAACAGCAGCACACTCCCACTAGGGTTTTCAGGAACATGCCTCATCTCTCTTCCAACTGTGCAGTTGGAACCTCTTTGCTATGATGAGATCCACTCTCTGTGCTAAGCCATGGGTCCCCTAAGACAGTATTAACGAAACCACAGTTGGCTGGGTTTAAGTAATAGCCAAATCATAAACTGCAATTTAAAAATCCCAATGCTGGATTCAGACAACATGTCACAAAACCCCCAAACCAATCACATGATAGCTCGGTACACTGTGTGGACCCAGACATCTTCCTCTGGTACTTTTGGCCAAAGATTTGCATAACTCCCACTTCATGAGAAGTGAAGTTCTGGCTGCTTTCTTCAAAGCCATCTTTTTAAGCAGGCAAAGTCCCAGCAAGATATGCTTAAAACACAATATCCATCATTCCAGCCAACACAGACATTTCGGTTTGTACCAGAACGTCCTTTCCCTATGTCAGTGAA